GGTGCAGGGAGTGCTGGGCCCGGGAGTGGGTTTCAGTGGTTTGGGTTCGGAAAGGGGGGCGCAGGTTCCAAGAAGGAGCCGGAGGAAGACCCTGTGGATAATCTGCCGGTGCTAAGGCCAGAAGTGATTGCTCTGGAGCAGGTGAGACAGAAAGGGGTTCAGGTTCGGATTCGGGTTAACGTTTGAGTCGATTCAAAAGCGGGAGAAAGATCCCTTGGACAACCTGCTGGTGCTAAGGCCAGAAGAGGTTGCTCTGGATCAGGGAGGACGGGGAGGTGTAAGATATAGGGGCCTTTCTTTTGAGTCGAGCCACGTGCGGAGGTGCTCGTTCCTGCTCCAGAATATATCAGTGCTAAGGGATAGCTCTCTAGAGCAGGTGGGACGGGGTTTATGGTTCAGGGGTTAATGCGGAAGGGCAGGGCAGGATGTAGGGTTTCTCTCTGGTCACCACGCCTCACAGGCTCGATCGATGCTGCTGCTAACTATCAGCGCCTGGGCTGAAGCAGGGGGGGAGGGGATCTAGAAGCTAGCGATTGAGAATTCGAGGTTTGGTACCTGAAGTGCTTAGGAGAGGGTGGGTTTCGGGTATGGATGTGGGGTATCTGTTCCCCTGTGTTGCCCCTGGTGATGTTGCCTCTGGTGATGTTGCCTCTGGTGATTTTGCCTCTGCCTTGGCCTTTCATCCACCAGGTGCGAGAAGAGGAGAAGGCAAAGCCTGGAGTGGAGGTGGATTTCAGAGGAGCACGCAAGGGCGCATGTGAGCGGTGGGATCGGGAGGGGGAGGGGGTGAGCGTCTCTGGTTTGTTGCGTGGTCTGGCTGAGAGGGAAGTGATGCTTTCCGTATTGCAAGCCTGCAGGGAAAGCCTCTTGGCCGTTACCTAGGCAGGCACCACCCACCCATTGCTGCTGGTTTCAAAGTAGGCTGACTGCAGGTTTTCTACTGTCGTATGTCTTTTCACCTCCCCAGGATTCCTGCTCCATTTGCTCTCACTGCATTCCTCCTTTCTCTCACAGCCATGCTGGAGGTGGTTTCCTCTGCCACGTCCTATTCTCCCAATGGTGTGGGTCCCATAAAGCTACTGTGTCTAGGGGCCAGGCTGCAGCTTCTGCTATCTCACGCCCTTCCTCCTCGTCCTATCTCCTCTTTCCCCCCTTCCTTCCCCCGCCCCAGCCATTATCGAGGTGCCTCCCCCTGTGGACCCCTCCAAGCTACCGTGTCTTGGCAGGGGCAGGGTGCAGGCGGATGGCAAGTGCCTGTGCTCCGTGCTCTATGGGGGCGACAACTGCGAGGTATGCTGACTGGTGCCTGTGACAAGTGTGACTGTAACGGAGGTGGCAGGGGCACCTTTTAGAAGGAACAACATGAGCTACAGTGTCTAGGAAGAGGCAGACTGCAGCAGCGCGGCAAGTGCCTGTGCTCCGTGCTCTATGGGGGTGTCTGACAGCTGCGGGGTAAGCTGAATGGTGCTGATAACTGGTGTGACTGTGACGAAAGTGGCACCTGTCTGTAAGTGACTGTGACTGAATGGTGGTACAGTATGAGTTACCATGCCCAGGGGATGGGTGTGCTGCAGGCGGGCGACAATGCCCCGTGGTCTACAGGGGTGATGTGAGGTACGCTGATAGGTGCCTGTAACAAGTGTGTCTGTAGCGAAAGTGGCACTTGTGATAAAGTTCTAGGTGTGGGCAACACTGGTAAGCCGACAGTAGACCGCTACGTGGAAAGGTGATGGGGACGCCACACCTCTCTGGCTCTTTGCTTCCTCTCTGCTCTTCTTCCTTGTAACAGGAAACCCGCAAACACCTACAAGCTAACAGCCAATCCGTACGTTGGAAGCTATCTCCTCACACTGCAAGCACTGATGTGATGGCAGAGACTCCCCGTTGCCCTTCGTCCTTTGTGTACCACTGTCTTGCCTGATAACAGGAGACACGCAACACCGACAAGCTGACAGTAGACCCCTACGTGGGCAGCTACCTGCTCACAGCGCAGGCACTGATGGCTCCACCACCGCCAGGGGCGGGGGATCAGGGGGGAGTGGAGGGGGAGGAGGGGGATCCGCCGGGCGATCTGCCATGCTGCTGGAAGGGCTGTCGATTGAGGAGCGGAGGGAGCTGAGAGCCGTCCTGCCGTTGAATGACATCTACCAGACCACGGTGAGTGCATGAGATCTTGTATTATGCCTCAAGTGTGAGCACAGGGGGAGCAGGGGGGCAGTGGAGGGGGAGGGGGGGGGGTGCGCTGGGAGGTCTGCCTTGCTGCTGGAAGGGTGTCAATTGAAGAGAGGCGGGAGCTTAGGGCCGTTCTGCCGTTAAATGACGTCTACCAGACCACAGTGAGTGCACTACGAGCTCGAATTAAACCTCAGATGTGAGAACAGGGGGCACCGGAGGGGGAGGGGGGGGGATCCGCAGGACGACCTGCCATGGTGCTGAGTGGAAGTCAGGGAAGGGGTGTCGATCGAGGAGAGGAGGTCTTCCCTCCTTGCCCATCCGTTTTCCATCCTAACTTTCCAAATCCCGTCGCTTTGCCTCTCCTTCCCACAAACACCAGGTGTGGGACTCGTGTGCCGTGGTGGGAAATTCGGGCTCGCTGCTTCTGAGAGAGGATGGGGAGGAGATAGACAAGCACGACATGGTTATGCGCTTTAACACGGCGCCCACCAAGGGATACGAGAGGCAGGTGGGTGCAAGCGACACTAGAGTCGTCTAAATAAGAGGAGGAGGAGATTGACAAGCACGACATGGTTATACGCTTCAACACAGGGTCCTCTAAAGGATAAGAGAAGCAGGTGGGTGGAGTTGATACGTGTGACTAGCATTACACGATAAAGGATGGGAAGGAGATTGGCAATCACTACGTGGTTATACGCTTTAACACAGCGCCCACTAAGGGATACAAGAAGCAGGTGGGTGGAGTTGATTCTTGCAACATCTTGAAAGAAGAGGGCGGAGAGGAGGATATGCTTATGTGCCTTGACACTGCGGTTGATAAATGGTACGACAGCAGGTGGTTGAATTGAAAGTGATAGTGCATATGTGCTTTGACAAAGGATACGTCAGCATGTGAGTTGGTGTGCAGGTATGCAGGTGTGCTTTGCTTATGTGCTTATGTGCTTTCACGGCGGGTGATAAAGGATACGACAGCAGATGGTTGAAAGTGAGAGTGCGTATTCGTGTCAATGTACCCGAGGTGCCTGCCTCACAATAGCAACCCAGCAACCCGGCCCACCTTGTTCGAACACCTAACCTTGTTGTCAGGTGAAGAGGTGTTAACCTTGCCTCAATATCCCAGACAAGGCGGGGTTCAGAGTTGATGTTTGAGTCGACTCACTAGCCTCGAGACACCTCTCTCAGTCCAGCAACCCGGCCCACCTTGTTCTAACTTCTAACCTTGTCGTCAGGTGAAGAGGTGTTAACCATTGCCTCAATATCCCAGACAAGGCGGGGTTCTGTGAGAGAGGGCAATGAGACGGTGGTATACCACCTGTTCCTGAAGCCACCACCAACCAGCCAACACACCCCCACCCCCTCTCCCATCCGCTTCCCCAACCTTTCGCCTGAGGGTTCCAGACAAGGCGGGGTTCACAGAGGGCAAATACCCCTTCATGCGCACCCTGCTCATCTTTCCCCCTTCAATCCCCCCTCCATACCCCCCCTCCTCCCCCCTGCAGGTGGGGAAGAAGACCACCTTTCGCCTGAGTGTCCCTGACAAAGCAGGATTCAGAGAGGGCAACGAGACGGTGGTATACCACCTGTACCTGAGGGGCGTCAAGACGGAGCTGGAGCATCTACTCAAGTTCAAACGCGTCTTCAGAGAAGGGCCGCTCTATGTGCTGGACCTGGGGTTCGAGTCTCAGGTGCGTATGTGAAGTGAATCGACACGTGGGTTTCGGGTTTCGGGTGAATCGACACGAGGTTTTCGGGCCTCGGGTCTAGGGTTTAAGGTGAATCAACGCGTAGGTATAGAGTCTTCTCTTGATTCCTCGCATCATCAGTCAACACAGAGACCTCGCAACACCTTCGTTCATGATTTTTCACAATTTCTCACGAATTATCTCGTTGTTTCTCAATAATTCTCTCACTATTTCTCACTAATTCTCTCACTATTTCTCACTCTCTTACTATTTCTCCCACTGATTCTCTCTCTTTTCTCTCTCCATTTTCCCCCGCGCCAACAACTCTCTCTGCAGATCTTCAACACCTTTGGCGCCTTCACGTCCGTGGGATACGTGGGGATTCAGTTCGCCCTGCAGGTACGGTCTGGTTGAAACCTACGTGACCGCAAACGCGTTTAGCGTTTTAAACGCATCGTTTAAACGCTAGCGTTTAAACGCTAAACGCTGCTGCTTGAGTTTCTAAACGCTAAGGTAAACGCACTCTCGGGCAGCCGGAAAAAGATTTCCGGGCAGGGTAAAAAAACCTGGGATAGGTAGGGGGAGGCAAGGGGATTATGGTTGACAACATTTTCCCTCCAAATTATATCACATAAAAAAAAATTGGCATGTCAAATCCACATGTCAACGACAACCACATGTACTACCTACTACCACCCTCTAATCAACAGCACCCTCCGTCTTCCTTCCTCCACCCTCCTACCCAAAAGCCCCCCATGCTTCTTAACCGCCGCCGCCACTCCCTCATCTCCTCCTACTCCTCCTCCTCCTCCTCCCCATACTCGTCCTCGAGCACGGGCTCATCTCCATACTCATCCTCCTCTAACTGCCCCTCCTCATCGACGTTGTATCCTTTTGGAATGGGAGCATCCGGGATGTTCCCCGCAAGAACCGCCCTAGTCTCCTCGCTGGTTTTGTGCCAGTTGCGCACAACGTTCCAGTTGTGCGCAACAAACACCAAGTCCCGGCACTTCTCGGGCCCGAGACGGTTGCGGCGTGCAGTGTGCACCGATTCCCACACTGCCCACCCGCGCTCGCAGCTGGATGCAGACACCGGCTGCGTGAGCACACGACACGCGAGCTCTGCCAGCTCGGGGTGGTCGGTCCCGTGCCAGGTCCACCAGTCCTCCATACTTAGACTCCCCTCCTTCACTTTCTGCCGCTGCATTATTGCGTCGGGTTTGCCGAAGGAACCCCTCAGCTTCAGGAATGCAGTCACTCCCTCCTGCAGTACCACTACCGCACTCTTCTCCTTTGCCTCCTTACGATCGATGGTGATGGTGCTGCTGTATCGGCCAATGAACTCCTTAAACAGGTCGGTGCACTCCTTGTCGGGGCCAAAGATCTTAGCAACCTGGTTGGCCGGGTTGAGGATCCGGCCAACAGCATGCAGTGGGCAAGCCATGCTGACGTCCCACCGATGCTGGATGATCTCCCCAATCCCCTCCTTATCCTCCGGCGTCAGCTGCAAGTCTTCCTTCTTCAACAGATCAGTCACGTCCACAGTGAGTTTGAGCATGAGCTCATAAATCTGCCCCATCATCCCCTTGGCCGAGGAGTCAGTCGACCGCATCTCAAGGTAAGGCAGTTTCAACAGCTTGACAAAGAACTCAGCTGCTGCCCACCAAGCCTGGTTAAGCACAATGCTCTGGATGGAATCGGCCGCTGCCTTCTGCTTCCCTACGGCCCACGCCTTCCACGTTTCGCCTGCCACCAACACAGTCAGCTTCCCGTGGAGGTCTACAAGCCTCGACACTGCAATGTACTGGGTTCCGAACCGGGTGCCCGCTGGCTTCAACAGCTGCAGCACCTTGCCCCTCAGCTCCCCTGGCTCGCGCAAGAAGTTCCTCGTCCAGTGGTGATTGCGGACGTAATTTATCACCTCGTTCGCACCCTCAACCACCCTCTTCGCCCACGCCTGCTTTCCCACGTCTTCCATGAGCAGGTCTAGGACATGAGTGGCGCACGGCACATGCTCAATGTGCGGCCACTCCTCCCTCAACACCTTGCAGGCCTTGCCGTAGTTACTCCCCCCATCCGTGCATAGCGCCACCACATTCGCAGGCGCGATTTTCTGGATGATAGGGCGGAGGATGCCGGCAATGTACCCGCCTGTCTTCGTCTCCATGCGGCAGTCAATGCAGTCGGCAAACATGGCGCCGAAGTCATTGACTAACATGACGTTCGCTTGCGGCCTCCCGCACCGGTCTGTCATCATGTCTGAAGCCACGGTGACGCCATGCCTCTCCCAATTCTGTTTGAGTGCATCAAGGGCGAGTTCGATGCGGGTGCGACACTCCTTCAACCCCGCTCCTCCAATGTACGTGCGTTTGGGCGGCACGTACGTTGTTCCCGCACGAGCGACCGCATGCACGGCATCGACGAAGAGTGGGTGGTCGGCATGACGTTCTGGGATGCGGAGGGCTGCAAACATGAGGCACAATGCCGCATCCGCCTCACGCTTAGCACATGCCGCGCCGTTGCTGAAATACGTAGTTATCTTGCCCCGCTTTCCCCCTCCCCCCACGGCCTCCACCGCATCCGCGACCTCCTTACGCTTCTGGGCCTTGACAGACGCCTTCCCTTCGTATAGTGCCTGCATTGCCTCCCTCACCTCCTTTGGCGCCGAGGGACATTCCTTGACCTCCCGCCGCCCCTGTCCTTCCCACTCCGCGAAATGCATAGCGCACCGGTTGGGAATGCCTACAAAAGACAGCCCGCAATAACGACATTCCACCCTAGCTGTGGCGACCCCGGCCTCCTTAACTCTAACTTTGTAATGCTTGTAAACATCATGATTAGACTCTGCCTCGTAAATATTTGACGCTGCAGACGCTGTAGGATTAGCGTCTGCAGCACCATTAGGGGGGGTCGACATGGGCGTGGGCCCTTAACTTAGCGCGAAATTAGGTGGCAAGGGTGAGTGGGCGTGGGAGATGAGAGAATGACGACTAAATCTGATCTACGGCTATGTCGCGCGGAACTCTAGGGTTCCCGTTTCTCATGGGGAAGAGATTGTGATGGAAGAAGGGGAGAAAGTGGTTAGGTTGGAGTGGCCGTAGATGAACAGGGTGCTGTGCGGTTGAGCGGGGCAAAAGAATTGGATGCGTTTTTTGGTCGCTAGGTTGGGATTTGCGACTTGGCGAATGTCTAGTTGAATTCGCCAGGTCGCAATGTCGCGAAAAAAATTTGGTCGATTTTTTCGTCGGGCTGCCCCTAAAATTTTACCCGAGCGTTTAGCGTTTTACCACGCGTTTAGCGTTTAGCGTTTAAACGCTAAACGCTGCCCCGCCAGAGCGTTTGCGGTCACGTAGGTTGAAACTGGCTCAACGCCCTTTCATGCTCTCAATAGACAAGTGGTGCCTGCCTGCACTACACCACCGCTGTAGGATGCCACGTGTGGGATACGTGGGGATTCAGTTCGTGCTGCGACTAGCTGATCGTCCTTTCATGCTCTGAAGAGGCAAGTGCTGCCTTGCCTGCACCACTGCTGTAGAATCCCATCTGCGAGATACGTGGGGATTCAGTTCGCCCTGCGACTGGTTGAACGTCCTTTCGTGCTTTGAAGAGGCAAGTGGTGCCTGCAGTTTGCCCATCTGTGGGATACGTGGGGGGGATGCAGTATGCCCTGCAGGTACGGTCTGACTGCAGGTCAGGTGTGGTCTGGTTGAACATTGGACCTTTCCAGTTTCCTTAAGAGGGCGTTGGTTGGACTTCCTTTCCAGTTTCCTGAGGTGGGCGAGTACCTCTCAGCCATCCTGCAGAATTGCAGCTCCACATTGACCTCTACAGTAGAATCTGATCTGATTTGTTCTCTCTCAACGTCCCCGCCCCTCCTTCCCTGACCCACAGAAGTGCCACCACATCGACCTGTATGGTTCCATTCTTAGCGAGCGGCACGGCGCGCGGCACCACTAGTTCAACAGGGGCGAGCACATGCCAGTCTACCACTTTTGCTTGTTCTCTCTCTAATGCTTTCCCGTCCACCCTATGCAGAAGTGCCACCACATCGACTTGTACGGTTTCTTTCTAAGCGAGGGGCACGGCGTGCGGCACCACTACTACAATAAAGACGAGCAGAAGCCGTCCCACGTGACGGGCGAGCAGCTCGACCGGGAGTTCGTGCAGAGCATCGAGATCGCTGACACTGAACTCATGTGGATTGCTGACCCGTGCCTCTACGGTGAGTGCTAATGGGGGGGGGTTATGACTGGCTGGGGTTCAGAGGGACGGTGGTAATGGAAAGGTGGAATGGGGAGGGCTCAACTGGGGATTTGTGGAGAGCATCGAAGTTGCAGATGATGCTGCGCTCACGTGGATCGCAAATGATGCTGCGCTCACGTGGATGGCAGATGATGCTGCGCTCACGTGGATAGCAGATGATGCTGCGCTCACGTGGATGGCAGATGATGCTGCGCTCACGTGGATGGTAGATGATGCTGCGCTCACGTGGATGGCAGATGATGCTGCGCTCACGTGGATGGCAGATGATGCTGAGCTCACGTGGATGGCAGATGATGCTGCGCTCACGTGGATGGCAGATGATGCTGCGCTCACGTGGATGGCAGATGATGCTGCGCTCACGTGGATGGCAGATGATGCTGCGCTCACGTGGATGGCAGATGATGCTGCGCTCACGTGGATGGCAGATGATGCTGCGCTCACGTGGATGGCAGATGATGCTGCGCTCACGTGGATGGCAGATGATGCTGAGCTCACGTGGATCGCTGGCCCGTTCCCAGCCAGCCACCCTACTTGTTTCCCTTGCCCCTTCCTTCCCCCAACCCTTGCCCCTTCCTTCCCCCAACCCTTGCCCCTTCCTTCCCCCAACCCTTGCCCCTTCCTTCCCCCAACCCTTGCCCCTTCCTTCCCCCAACCCTTGCCCCTTCCTTCCCCCAACCCTTGCCCCTTCCTTCCCCCAACCCTTGCCCCTTCCTTTCCCCAACCCTTGCCCCTTCCTTCCCCCAACCCTTGCCCCTTCCTTCCCCCAACCCTTGCCCCTTCCTTCCCCCAACCCTTGCCCCTTCCTTCCCCCAACTTCTGCCTCTGCCTCTGCCTCTGTTTCCCACAGATTGCCGGCGCTCCATCCAGCGCTGCAGCATGTGCATGAGGATATCAGTGGACGAGCTGAGCCAGAAGACAGGTGCGTTTGGTGAAGGTAAATCTGGTGCAGGTTGTCCCATACTTACGCTCCATCCAGTGCTGCAGCATGTGCATGCGGATATCAGTGGACGAGCTCAGCCTGAAGACAGGTGCGCTTGGTGAAGGTAGATCTGGTGCAGGTTGTCCCATACTTACGCTCCATCCAGTGCTGCAGCATGTGCTTGCGGATATCAGTGGACGAGCACAGCCAGAAGACAGGTGTGCTTGGTGAAGGTAGATCTGGTGCAGGTTGTCCCATACTTACGCTCCATCCAGTGCTGCAGCATGTGCATGCGGTTATCAGTGGACGAGCTCAGCCTGAAGACAGGTGGGAGGGTGTGGGTATGGAGTATGGTGCAGGTGGATATGGTGCAGGTGGGTATGGTGCAGGTGGGTATGGTGCAGGTGGGTATGGTGCAGGTGGGTATGGTGGGTAGAGCCCATTGCAGGTGGTGCAGATGAATATGCTGCATTAAAGGCTGCAGCATGTGCATGAGGATGCCAGTGGACGAGCTGAGCCAGAAGACAGGTGGGTGGGTGTGAGCCTCAGGTGGGTGAGTAAAGGAGTCACCATACAATCACTCATCCAGTGATGCTGCATGCCCATGAGGGTCAGAGGGGACGAGCTGAGCCTGAAGACGGGTGGGTGTGATCTAGTGCAGGTGCATGTGGCCAGTAATGCACCCAAGGATGCACCATGGCCAGTGTGCATAAGGCTCGCAGTAGACGAGCAGAGCCAGAAGACAGGTTCGCTCGGTGAATGTAGATATGGTGCGGTGTGAAGGTAACCATAGTGCAGTGTGAGGGACGAGCTCAAGAAGGGCGCTACACACCCCCCACCCCCTCTGTCCTACCCCCTTCCTCCCCTCCCCTTCCCCATGCAGAGTGGTCGACCCAGCAGCTGGCCTTGAACGCGCGCAGGGAGCAGCGGTGGCGGGAGTTTCTCAAGTGGGAGAACATAGTGCGGGACGAGCTCAAGAAGAGCGTGCGGCTGCAGTTCCAAATGCAGGCGGAGCAGCGACGGATGAGGAACTCTGGCTCCCGCACGGATGGGGTTTTGGGGGAGGGTAAGGGTGGGGGGAGAGGAGGGGGAGACGGGGGAGGAGCAGGAGGAGGAGGGGGAGGAGGAGGGGGGAGGGGAGCGGGAGGAGGAAAAGGGGTGGGAGGCGGGAGTGGGGGTGGAGGAGGGGAGGTGAGGGGGATGCAGGGGGAGAGTGAGGATGAGTATGATAGCATTGACTGGGAGCGGGTGGTGGTTGAAGACATGTTAGATAAGCTATCGATGCACGAGGTGTTACTGTACTTTAGAAGAAACCACCTCACTATCCCGGACACGCGGGCGCAGATGCTTCAGGCGGTGAAGGCGCATTATTTCTTCCTGAGAGGGGAGTTGCAGAAGCAGAAGAACAGGCTGTATCGGCCGTCAGACTGACAGGCCTGGCCTCATGCTTTCCCCTTTCAGTGTTCCCTTTTGTGATTGTAGTATTGTGGTGAGTGTAGCAGTTTTTTTTGTTTCTTGCCCCCAGCTGTTTGTGAGTGGGAAGTATTTAGATTGTATTCTCCAAATGTGAATCCTCTTAAAGTGGGGCATGTTCCAGCCAAGTATTGTGAAAGCTTGCTTGGGTCATGGCAAAGGCAGCGTGCTTCATTTCATATGGGATTGCATACATGGTTCTCGTCCAATAGACTACACCTACAAATAGGGTGGGTGGGTGGGGAAAACGAAACTGGAACTAGAAATGAAGAACGTGGGTGAGGTCGAATGGCCTCACGTCCCTCTTTTGTAGGCAAAAGAGGGTGAGTAGCGCTTCGACGCTGTCCTTGCTGCGTTGGCCCTCGCTGCACTTTCACAATACACATTTTTATAAAGCGTTACACGCTTTCAAAAAATTACATTTACCATGAGTGTTGACAAGTCTCTTCTTGAAGTGCAAATGTCAGTCCACACACAAAAAGGAAGGGCAGGTATCAGTAAGGGAGGCAGGTGGAGTGCAGTGCTGAAGCAGGGGAAGCGGGAGTGGAAGAAAGATGGAAGGAGAACGGATAGGACGGTATTAAAATTATATAAGTTATAATTAAATGTAGGCTTGGTAGGTTGTTACTGAACCTTTCTGTAGAGGGTACAAACCCCTCCTTGTACTCCTCTCTCTTCCTAATCGATTCTCTTCTTTCTCGTCAACTTCTCTCCCCCGCTCCTAGATCTACTTTCCTCACGCCATTCCATGGCGTCCTTCCTTGCTTCCTAAGTTTAGTTAGTGTCCTAAGCTTCTTTGATATGGTATCAGAGCAGGAGATCCTTCCTGCTGGACCGCCTACTCACGCTTCTCGCGCTGCCATGGCGCTCGTGTCGTGCCGCTGGCCGCGTCGTGCCGCGGCCGTCTCGACGCGCTGGCGTCGCGCTGGCGTGCTGTCGCTTCCGCCGCGCATTTCTCTCGTCACTGCCTTCCCGCCGTGGCGGCCATGCCGGCCTGTCATGGCGGCTTCGTCATGCGGCCGTCGCCTCCTCGACGCCCTGCCATGGTGGCGTCGACGCTTTGCCGTGGCAGCGTCACCTTGCTGCCGTTGCAGCGTCGGCGTGCCGCCACAGCGTCGACGCCGCGCTCTGGCGGCGTCGTCATGCTGACGCGGCAGCGTCGATGGGCGGCAGCGGGCAGCACGCCGTCGTAACCGCCACCTGCCCGCCCTCCTGCCAGTAAGCGCCGCGCCACTTATGGCGCGTCGCTGAAGACTCGCCTCGCCCCGCCCCCTCCCCTCCCCCCCCCCCCACCTGCACCTGCTTCCCCTGCATCCCCCCCTTTCTTGCTGCAGCCGATGACTGCCTCATGAGGGCCCTCTCCACCGCCGAGGAGACTGGACATGCCGCCGAGAGGGCGGGGGCCGCTGCACCGGCCTCTGACGTTCAAGCCGCCGCCGCAGCCGCTGTTGCCGCGGGCCTGGTGCCGCCGCACGCCGCTGCCGCCGCCGCTGTCGTCACTGTCGCCGCTGCCGCCATTGCCATCTCACGGGCCGTGGGAGCTGCCCTCTTCCGGAGTCGTTGCGGCTCCTGCTGGGAATGGGGGTGCTGGGCTAGGGGGTGTGGGTGTGGGTGTGGGGGTGTGCGTGGGCTTGACACTACCAAGCCTAGGGGGTGTGTTAAAATTATATAAGTTATAATTTAATATAGGCTTGGTAGCAGGCCCTCAGATTGGTTTTAGGGAGGCTGATTGCTTAGGGTCGCCCATGTGAGAGCCCATGTTTTTCAGGGTCGGGTTTTTGGCGTGGCATGTTTTTTCAGGCCAATTGTTTTTTTTAGTCTGACTTATCAGGCCTACATTTTTGTAGTTTCTGATTCTTAGGTCGGATCGGACTTCACTGCGTACAATTCTTCTCGTCAGATTCCTGCATGATTTTAACTAAGGACCAATCAACCCCCTCACACCTCCTCCAGCTCGCCTCGAAGTTGCGTGTTTCTGGTTGCGTGATTCTGGTCAAGGACCAATCACGCCCCCCACACCTGTTCTAGCTCGCCTTGAAGTTCCGTGATTGTGGTCAAGGACCAATCACGCCCCTCACACCTGCTCTAACTCGCCTCGAACTTGCGTCATTTTTTTGTCAAGGACCAATCATGCCCCTCACACCTGCCCCACCTTGCCTTGAACTTGCGTGATTCTGGTCAAGGACCAGTCATGCCCCTCACACGTGCTCAAGCTCGCCTTGGCAGATAAGATTCAGATTCAGGGCGAATTTCGAGTAAGGCTGATTCGTCAGGCTCGGTAAAACAAGAACATACTATTTTTCAGGCCTTAGAAAATAGGAACACATAAATTTCAGGTTTGACAAAAATCAAAACCTGAAAAATCAGGGTATGCCCTAGAAAACACCCTGATATACAGGCTTTCGGGCCTTTTTGGCCTGACTTCTGAGGCCCTGCTTGGTAGGTTGTTACTGAACCTTTCTATAGAGGGTACAAACCCCTCCTTGTACTCCTCTCTCTTCCTAATCGATTCTCTTCTTTCTTTGTCAACTTCTCTCCCCCGCTCCTAGATCTACTTTCCTCATGCTATTCCATGGCGTCCTTCCTTGCTTCCTAGCTAAGCTAGGTTCCTAAGTTTACTTAGTGTCCTAAGCTTCTTTGATAGACGGAACAGTGGATATTTTTCTGCGTAGGAGAACACAGCACAGTAACCTGTTAGGCCCTATACCCAGTCTCCCTCACCTTGGCAATTGGGATTCGGCTCAGTTCATTCATTGCCAGCTAGAGCCAGTCCCTTCGGTTCTGAGTGTAGTTACAGCGACGGAAAGTATTGCCCGGATAATTGCCTTAAAACATTTCTCGTACTGGTTTGGTGCCTTCTTTGTTTAGTTACGAATCAAATTTCGGGGTTGGATGTAAAGTAGTACTGTACTGTATGTGACGGATGCTGGTTTCAGTTTTATAGGGGTCGATTTTTTACCGAGGACGAGATTTCGTCCGCGTGGGTGCATCCGGACAGTTTAGGCCAAGCAGCGTAGTAGATCTATTTCCTAACCTCGCTATTTCTTCTTACTTGCCCTCGCGACTATCGAGTAGTCAGGAGATAGGCTAGGACCGCTGCGATGATTAGGCCGTCATGAAACTGTTAGATGAGGCGCTCTACGCATAGATCATTCCCTTGTTGCGGAGGGGGTAGAGCAATCGTTGAATCGCTAACAGCTAGCCATAGGGAAGAGTTCGGCCCATCAAGGCGATTGTAGAGTCTAGCCGCGATGACGTGCGTCCTACGATGCCCTCAGCCGGTCGCCCTCGCTTAGTGACAGAGAGAGTTCGCCACGGCATAGTTTGGTCGATTACCCTCGAGGAGGCAGAAATCTCCGCTCACGTGGCGAAAATCGTTGAGAAGCAGCACGGCATCACGTTGCATCCTAAGACATTGCGTAACGCTTTGAATGGGAGCTGACTTGTCGCAATCAAGCATCCCAAGAAACCGCGACACTCTCGGAAAAACATACGATAGGCTGGAATGGGCGCGTGCCCACGCAGACTGGACGGTTGACGACTAGAAGCGAGTTATCTATGCGGATGAGACCAAGATCGGTCGTCTTGCATCCGACTGACTCTCATACGCCTGCGTTCACGAAGGGACTGCCCTCCAAAGACACCAAATCAAGCAGACCGTCAAACACGGGGGCGGTTGCTTGATAATTTACAACTGCATGTCGTAAAAGGGAGCGGGTTTCATGAGCAAAACATATGGTAGGGTGGACGGACTGCTCTCGCTGAGTATACTGCAGGACGATCTCAACAGTACGATTGAGCTTTACCAGCTTACACCCTCAAAAACTATCTTCCAGCACGACAACGACCCGAAGCACAAGTCGCGTATCGTATAGGAGTGGCTTTGAGAGTAAGATTCAGGGGTGCTAGAGTGGCCGTCTTCCTCACCCGACCTCAACCCAATGGAGCATTTATGGGCTCATCTCAAGAGGCAGCTGGCCAAGCCTTATAAGCCTCCCACTGGTATGCTGGACCTTTGGGAGCGGGTGCAGGTGAAATGGGAGAAGATCCTGGCGGATGTGTGCACCCACCTGGTGGAAAGCATGCCCAGGAGGGTGAGGGCGGTGTCTAAGGCGAAAGGGCGGTGTATTAGGTACTAGTTTGGGGTTGATGTGACTTGCTGCGTGCGCCTGGCAATAATTGTCCACATGTACCAAGATTGTTATTTTCTAGTATTTGTTGTAAACATCATTATACTTGTGTGATGTAAGGCATGGGCGTGGAGCCTTACCCCAACCTACATACACTAGGCACACCAGAAGATTAAGTCTTAATGTCCATGACCCCCTAAAATGGCAAAATTCCTCTAAGTCACAAACATGTGGACAATACTTTCCGTCGCTGTACATACACTCCAGTGCGGAGCACTCAGCAATAATATATGAACCACTGTTAGACATTATCATGGTACAGTAAATTCGGGTACACTGCAGCCTGCACGCGTGTAGCCTACTTGGGCATTCTAGTCCCAGTGGGAATGAGGACTCTATCCACCGCATGTGCGATGAAATAGGGTCCTGCATATATCCTCATGATCTTGATTGTCGCCCAGGTGGCTGGAGGCGCCCTTGGGCCTTTAGCGAACGACACTGTATTGGCGTTTTGAGCCGAGATCTTGTACAGAGCCTGCTTCAATTGAGTACGAAGCGGCCGCCCCTTTTTGAAGGCCTTAAAGTTCGGAACCGTTAGTTTTTTCGCGATGATGTGGTACGCCGTAATGTTGTAGATTGTACGGATGTTGCTGCTTTTAACGGGGAGCTTCTTAGCGAGGGCTTCGGCTTTTGTGTTGCTGGGGAGGAGGACGGTGGCGTCCGCGAGGGCAGAGAAGTCGTACTTGGAGTTCAACGCGAGGCCGATGTACTTGCTGATGTCTTTCGCGTATTTCGCGTATTGAGGGTAGCGCTTCGTGATGGTGCTCGCCATTTTATTCAGCTCCGCCTTCAGCTGCGCCTTGGTTGGCTTCGCCTTCGCCTGCGCGTTTGCTCCAGCCACGCAGAGGGCGATGCAGATGAGCCCGAGGAAGAGTACTAGCAGGAGTCTGGATTTAGCCATTTCTATGAGGGGAAAAATCTTCCTTGCGGGCCTAGGTCTTCCTTGCGGGATTCGAAGGCGGAGCA